GTACAGAAAATTAAATTAGCAAAGCAGAAACACTTTGAGCATGCAAACAAAACGGGGCGCTGGTTAGCGTATAAATTGAAAAAAGAAAAAGAAAGGAGAACAATATTTCAATTGCAAGACGAAACAGGACAAATATATCATACCAATCTAGACAAAAAACGTATAGTTAAAGATTTCTTTCAAAGTCTCTACAAGGGAGAAGAGATTCGGGAGGAAGACATTAAGGAATACTTATGTAAAACAAACATCGTAAAATTAGAGAAGTCCCATAGAGAAGCATTAAATAGACCAATTACGATGTCTGAGCTGGTGGAAGCAAGGAAAAAGCAAAAAAACAACAAAGTCCCAGGCCCGGATGGGATACCAACGGAGTTTTATAAGAACTGTCAAAATGCAATGGATGAACTGTTACTCCTGGTTCTCAACGATGCACTATTAGAGGCAGAAATTCCCAAATCCTGGACTGAAACCATAATTACACTTATCCCTAAAGAAGACACAGACCCCACACAAATTAAAAACTATAGGCCGATTTCACTGCTTAATGTAGATTATAAACTCTTCATGTTGGTCATAACGCAAAGACTGAAAGCAATTATTCATAAATACATACATATGGATCAGAACGGTTTTGTCCCAAGAAGACAGATCAAAAACAACATAAGAACAATTATTAACGTCCTGGAACATTACGAGAAAAGAAACGATAAACAAGCAGCCCTACTTTTCCTAGACGCACAAAAGGCCTTTGATAATTTAAACTGGAACTTCCTCATATCGCAATTAGAAATTATGGACTTTGGCGCTAAATTTTTACAAATGATTAGAAAAATATATTCCCACCAAACGGCCAAAATTATGATCAACAGAGATATGACTGAAAACCTAGATATACAAAAAGGAGTGAGACAAGGCTGCCCCTTATCCCCACTATTGTTCATAATCTCTTTGGAAATATTATTAAATGAAGTCAGGAAAGACCCCGAAATAAAAGGTTTGAGAATACGGAAAGAGGAGTACAAATTGCAAGCCTTTGCTGATGACGTGGTGTTTATAATGGAGCAACCGGAAACAACAGGAGCCAAACTTTTAGCGAGGATAGAGGAATATGGAAGAGTTGCAGGGCTTAAAATTAACAAACAAAAAACTAAAGTATTAACAAAGAACTTGACAAAGGTACAAGAGATACAACTAGAAGACAAATTAGGAATACAAATTGTAAAGAGAATAAAGTATTTAGGAATCTGGCTTACTGCCAAAGCAATAACAATCAGAGAAGACAATTACAATAAATTAATGAAACAAATTAGAAAAGACCTGGAAACGTGGAATAAATTACAACTGTCATTCCTAGGGAAAATTGCATCCATAAAAATGAACATACTCCCTAGATTACTCTACCTTTTCCAAGTAGCCCCAATCTGGCCAGGAAAGAATTTCTTTAAGGACCTCACTAAAATAACAAACAAATTTATTTGGAATGGGAAAAGGGCCAGAATTAAAATAAAATGTATGCAAGATACCCGAGAAAAAGGAGGCCTGGGCCTACCGGACTGGGAGCTATATTATAAAGCAGCGTCGCTAAACTGGATAAGGGACTGGATAGATCTTAAGAATAAAAGAATGTTATCACTAGAAGGCTTTGATCTACAACGCGGATGGCATGCCTTTCTCTGGGAGGGAAAGGATAAGCACCATGGGTATTTTCAGCAACATATCATTAGAGAAGCATTGTACAAATCATGGCAAGAGGTTAGGAAACACTACACCAAGATCCCACGATGGCTATCGACAATGGAAGCACAAATATACCCCAATGCCATGGATATAGCGAAAATGAGGACTTATAAAGAACTACTGAACAGTGAAGGAGAATTACAAACAAGACAAGAATTACAAAATCAGGGTATAGACATTGATTGGTGGCCATACATGCAAATAGAATCAAGATACAAAACGGATCGGGCACAATTTGGATTCCAAAATGAACCAAATGAATTGGATAAAATATTACAAAGTCCAGATGAGAAAATGATTACCAAAATTTATAAGTACCTACTACAATACAAATTGGAAGAGGAGGTTGTCAAAGAAAGCATGATAACATGGGCCCAAAACATAGGACATACTATTGAATTGGATAAGTGGGAGAATTTGTGGAAGATAAACTATAAGATGACACTGTCCATACCCTACAAAGAAAACCTTTACAAAATGTTCTACCGATGGCACCTCCCACCGGCGCGTCTAGCCAAGATGTTCCCAAATACATCTTCGATGTGTTGGAAATGTAAATCACAGAAAGGGACATACTACCATCTCTGGTGGCTATGCCGAAGGGCAAAACAATACTGGCAACAAATTAAAACAATGATTGAAGAAATTACGAAACAAAAACTTGAAATGAGACCGGAAATCTTTTTATTGGGAATCATCACAGCAAATTATACCAAAGAAATAAAATATCTAATCATTCATATCCTCACAGCAGCACGTATACTCTTTGCCCAGCATTGGAAATCTGAACAGTTACCTACAGAAGACAAAATAATAACTAAAATTACAGAATGTGCAGAATTAGATAAGCTTACAAAAGAAATACAAGAGAAGGATGATACTGATTATTATTTAGTATGGCAAAAATGGTACGGCTGGCTGGAGGCAAAAATAGGAATACAAAGATAGTTTATGACTAATCAATAGAAATGTATAGAAGTAAATAAGGAATCAATTATATATATATATATATATATAACCGTGTAAATAGATGATTATAGACATTAATATAAATACAAAAATGGAAAATACTCCACCGTTATAGTAACTTCTAAGAGTCAGTCATTGGACTGAATCGATGTTTGTTAGTTTTGTATGTTATTTTATGTATTTATGTTGGTTTTGTTTTTTCTTTTTATTATTAATAAAAATTTAATAAAAAAAAAAAAAAAGAGATTGAAAAACTTGGAAAGGTAGCAGGTCTACAAATCAATAAAGAAAAGACAAAAATGATAACAAAAAATATGACAACAAAACAAGTAGAGAAATTAGTAAAAGAATCTGGACTGCAGGTAGTTAAAAAGGTAAAATATTTAGGAATAAATTTGACAGCCAGAACGGCAACAATAAAAGAAGATAATTATGACTCCTTAGTCCAGAAAATAAAGGAAGATCTAGAAAAATGGGGGAAATTAAAATTGTCTCTACTGGGGAAAATAGCAGCGATAAAATCAAACATACTTCCAAGACTCCTTTATTTATTCCAAACAATTCCAATAAAATAAGATAAGAAATTTTTTGATAATTTGGCCAAAATAACTAAAAAATTTGTGTGGGAAGGGAAAAAACCAAGAATAAAATTAAATATATTACAAGACGACAAAATTAGAGGCGGATTTGGGTTCCCGGCATGGGAAAAATATTACAAGGCTGCAAGCTTATTATGGATTAAAGAATGAATAACCTTGGATAATCAAAGACTGTTAAACCTGGAAGGGCATGACCTAATGAAGGGATGGCATGCCTTTATATGGAGCTCAGGAAACAAAATATATAAACATTTTAATAACCACACTATTAGGAAGTCTTTAATTAACACATGGCAACAAATCAAACACCAACACTATATGAAAATTCCTGGCTGGCTATCAACCATAGAAGCAATAACTCACCCCAACATATTAACAACAAAAAAGATCTTAAGATATAGAGAAATAGTAGATGTTCAGGGGAAATTGAAAACTAGGGAAGAGCTCAAAGAACAAGGAATAGTAATAGACTGGTGGCCCTATTCTCAAATAAAGGTAAGATATAGAAAGGACCAAGAGGAGGGAGGAATAGACTTAAGACATTTGAAATTAGAGAACAGGAAGACAACCAGTATTATATGATATGGGATTTATTTTATCAATGGCTAGATAATAAAGCATGGAAATGAAATATGAAATATGAAATGTAATGATAAAATATATGAAGCGATTTTTTATGGGAGACAAGCCATTGTTAAATGATTGTTAAATGAAAATAATAGTATAAAGGAATATAAAAAATTATCAAATAAGAGAAACTAAATAATTTGTAAATTTTGTATATGGGATTAAGCACAAAAGAATTGTAACCGACCGACACACTTTCTGTGATTGTATTGGATGATGGTTGTTTTATGTTTTGTTATGTTTAAAAATTAAAAAAAAATAAAAAAAAATTTCCTGCTATTTGCCTGTCCATAATCTTCCATTAACCCAAGTGGTGCATTAAAGCACAAAATATTTTGAATCAATCATCTCAAATCTGCTAATTTTAAAAAAGCATTCAAAAGTGGGACTGTTACTCAGGTGTAATTAAAATATTAAGATCTTCAAACCAGTTGTATTCACAAAGTTGTGGCCACTGCAGGGTAACTGTAGTCAGCCCTAGTCATCTGATTATGATTTCTGACATTCCCTGCCAGTTTCTCACAAGTCAGTGGGGAAGCCAGCAGGAAGTTAGAAGCTGCCATTGTGGCACAGTGTTGGTGGCACAATGGTGATGGTACAATGGTTAGAATGCAGTATTTTAGGTTAATTTTGCTGACTGCCAGCTCCCAGCAGTTCGGCAGTTTGAGTCTCACTGGCTCAAAGTTGACTCAGCCTTCCAAGGTTCCATCCATCCGAGTCCAAATGAGGACTCAGATTGTTGGGGGTAATATGCTGACTCTGTAAACTGCTTAGAGAGGGCTGTAAAGCACTATGTAAAGCACTATGAAGCAGTATACAAGTCTAAATGCTATTGCTATTGCTCCCGTTCCCACTGCATTTTTGCCTACCCATGGTCATTCTTTTTTCTCTGTTTAAATAAGGAAATATCTCTGAAAGAATGATCTAATGGTCATGGGTCATGTAGGATATTATAAAGTTCTTATCATTTGAAAGTGCCAGCTTAGAGATAACCATTTCCAACTTCTAGATAGCAAAGATGCAGGAAATTCCTGCTTTATAATTTCTCTTTCTAAGATGGCAACTTGCCTTTGTTTGCATCATCCAATTCTTCTTTGTTAAATATTAGGCCATATCCTTGAACAGCACCTGTGTGAAACTGCAGTCGGAAAATGTTACTCCGAATGCCATACTGGTACTCTTTACGGCAACACTTGAGCTGAAATAAATAGATAAACAAACATTCATACATCTATGCATTCCTGCAACTTCAGACTGCCAGGGCAATTACATAAAATATACATAAGCAGTAGTTTTACGTTCCACTAACAGATGCATAGCAAAGTCAACAGAAGATGGATTGAGAAACCATCTTGGGAAACCAAGATGCAAAAAGGATTAGCCATATCTGATAGTTCACCAAACTGCCTCCTGGTGTTATTTGTTAGCAAAATCAAGGGAAGGATGGAGTAATGGGAGTAATGCCCCCCACCCCAGATATGAAATAAGACCCATATAAATTAGAATTTGAAATTTGAAATTATCAGAAGGATATACAATTTTCACTTAATACAGTAAAATATTTAAAAAAATTCCCAGGAGTAATTTCCCCATATTCATTTTTTAATTTCTTTTAGTCATTCTACCAGAAAATGGGAATATTACATTGTTTTGGGATTCAATAAGAAGAAAACAAGAGAGGGGTTCAGATAAACTATATTCCTTCTCCTCTTTTATACAGTTATCCTACAAATTCAGTGTCTGTACTTGTAAGATCAAATTATTATTATTATTATTATTATTATTATTATTATTATTATTATTATTAATATTATTAATATTATTAATATTAATATTAATAATAATTTAAAAACATTTCTAATAGTTCTTACGGTCCCTATATTATCCAAGTTATCCTTTTATGTCCAATGAAGTTATAGCAGGAAATAAGTGAAGCTGGTTCTCTCAGAAAGTGGTATGTTGTGTTTGACCTGAACTATTTTGATTTATTCTTTTGACAAGATGTTCCTACGTCAATCGTCTCCCAATACTTATAAATGGAAAACTATATAGGAGGGAGAAGTATGTAACACATTTGGCAAGCTTGCAGATAATTAATTTACAGAGGACCATCCAACCATAGGACTACACTTCCTTCTTCAGACTCCAAGTAAAATAATCTAGAAACAGCTTTATATTCACAGACATAAAAAGAGGTGGGACAAAAATATTGGATCATAGTTCTGCCCCAAGTGAGAAAGATCCAATGTAGTTTAGTGTTTAAGCTAGTGGAATAAGAGCAGGAAAACCCAAGTTCTACTCCACTGTTAATCATGAAAGTTTGCTGGATGACCTTGAGCCAGTCAGTCTTTCTCAGCCAAAGATACCTCAGGCACTGTTTGATTATAGTTATTTTTGCACAGTATTTTGGTAGTCAGAAGCAAAGTAAGACTATTTTCTACTTAAAGAGAATTTCGATGGGTTAACATTTCGCCCAATCCCTACTTTGAAAAATCTCTCCCCTTTTTTAATTCTTGTGTGTAGTTTTTCAATTGACTTTTTTTCCTTGTTGGTCAATGGATTGTGGAAAATATTCTTTATTTCCACTGTATATCGTACAGCATATTTTAAGGTATTCATTACTGGGAATGTCAATGTAGAGAATTCTGGAATGCAATAAAAAGACAAACAAGCTGAGAAGTGAGCTACTCAGTTCTGTTGATAAACTGAACTGTATTATTCTGCATTTACAGTCTTTCACTATAATATGTATCCTGGAGAATCATAGTTTATGTCAAGAAGATACATAAACCAGATTTATGCTTTCCATAACCAATACCCAGAGAGATAAAAGAAAATAGTTGTTTTCTGAAAACAGTGAGGGTAGAAATTCCCAGAGTAAAGAATTCTGTATCTAAGGCCACACATTTAATATACCGTAATTAATACAAGCCTCCTATGACTACATTACAAGTTATGAAAACTTAAAAGATATACATAATGTGTAGTTAAAACATCAATTTTTACAATTTAATCTGGAAATAGTATTATTTTTGTTAGGCCAGATCACCCCCAAGAGAGAGGAAGGGGAGAGAAAGAAATTTAGACGTATTTAGTTGTCATTCAACAAGGTTTCTCTGGGTTTTGGTTCCTGGAATTTCTTAAGAGGCTTTGACGTGCTTGGAGTTCACCCATTCAGTTTCAGAGGGTGAGAAAGCTTTCCATGCTATTGGGTATTGGGTTTTTTCTCAATCTGTTAGAGAGTCTACAATGACTTTGATTTTGAGGTGTTGTTCATCTTTGATCATAATAGGTTGGCAAGTGGTTTCATTGCTGGGAACCACCATTCTTATACCCAGCAATGGATCCTGTCCCCAACTTTAAGGTCTTTCAGTTTCGCATGCCTTTTGTCCATTTTTTTACACTTTCCTTGCATCCCCCAGTGTTTTCCCAGGTATTTTAAAGTTGGATGATACACTGCTTTAAGGAGGCAGCCAGTGGGGTGGCCTGGGAAAACTTGGGGACAGAAACAAAGTCCTGTCCCATGGCCACTATAAAGGTGGTTAATCTAGTGCTACTGTGCACTGAATTGTTTTAAGCAACCTCAGTGAAAGGAAGAAGATTCAACTGTCCTGTTGATAATTAATGAAACACTTGAAATATTTCTCCAAGATCCCATTTGTACATTCACAGCCTCCATTCCTTTTTGGATGATGTGAGGAGTTAAGCCCCTGAGTGCTCCCCAAACAGTTTAAGAACTCTTGCCCAAACTATGAAGTGAACTGGAGTCCATGATCCAAGTGTCAGGGTTTCAAGTAACAGACGCAATGCAATCAAAACTCAGAGGCCAAGGTGCTCCTCAAAGTCCAAATTTATTAGGCACGTCATATTGGCACATCTGGTGAAAACCCGACTCTGAAGGTCTCAAGGTTTTCCCCACCCAAATTAAAATTCAAAGTTCCTTCCCCCAATCCACATGTCCATCACATGGTCCAACCAGGTCATAGTCCCAATTCCAGTTGGTTTCAGTCCACGCCTCCCCAGCACCTGGTGGGAACATCCTTGATTCCCAGGGGAAAGAATTTTATTTTGGCTGGAAGTCCCCAGCTATCTCTACTCCCCCACTCCCATTCCCATAGCTCCAACCAGCCTTGCTCTGGCAGCCCTGAAGATGCTCCAAAATGGCTTCAGGGTTGACACCAAGATTATTCACTCTGGGGTTCCATGCAGTCTATAAATGTGCTGTACAAACAATTTGGCTAAGGTGTGAGCAGATGAAATTTTTTTGACAGGGCACAACATGCACTTGTTTGGAAAATAAATCAGTTATAACCCAAATCATGCTATTTCCCGAACTCTTGGATAACTCTACTATAAAATTCATTGAAATCTCTTTCCATTGGGCTTTGGGCTTAGTCACTGGCTGGAGGAGTCCAGGAGTCCCTTGCTGTCTTTTTGCAGAAGCAAAGATAGGACAGCATAACTTTCTATGTCTTTCTTTAGTGATAGCCACCAAAATTGGCGCTTAACCAAGTTAAGGTTTTGACAAAATCAAAATGACCCACAACTTTTGAGTCATGGCTTTTCTGAAAGACCACCTTCCATTGACTTTCAGGAATGTACAATTTGGCTCCCACTCAAACTAAACTATCTTGCATCATGCATTCCCCCTTGTGGGCTTGGAACCACTTGTCCTTCAGTGCCGCTTTCAGGGTGCCCAGTAAATCCTCAGCTTCCCTCATTGATTTTTTTGTTGGAGTCAGCTGAAAATGAAGATCAAATGAACCTGGGATACTGCAAACATTGTAAATACATGCCAATTGCCAAGTGCCCAAATTTGGATACAAAACTGTGGAGGTGCTGTGATGGTCATAAGTGTGAGGTCCAGTCATAACTCACTTTTTTCAGCATCTGCATAACTTCAAATAGATGCTAAATGAATGGTCATAAGGATGAAAACTACTTGTAAGTTATATCCGTATTGCCACCAATTAGACTATTGTAATGGACTCTACATGAACCTATTTATAAAAATTACTGAGACTTCCAGTTGATCCAGAATCTAACAGTGTGCTAACTGGTACTCAGCACTGAAACATACATACATACATACTAGGCCCTAAATGACTTCTGAATACAATTTAATGGTCAGTTTTGACTCACAGGTTACTTGAGTGTCTGCAAGATCATTTGCTTAAAGTTTAAAAAGAATTGGACTAGAAGATACTGCTTCCTTTGCAAGACTGTGAATCAGACTTGCTTGTTCCCTGATTGCATTCAGAATGACATACAAAAGGAATTATTTGGTAGAACACCTTTTAGTGATATTGCTATTTAAGATGTTTTAAATTATTGTGGATACTTCAATGTTGTCTTTTTTCTTGTAAATTGCTGACAGATTTTTCCAATTGCAATGGGATTTAAATGTAATAAATTAATTAATAATACAAATATATTTCACCAACTAACTAGATTAAAAAAAACAGTAGATTTTTGAATTAGTCCATTCTTACAATTTTTTTTCTTGAGGTCATCTTCAAAATACTAAACCTGCTAACAATAGCATATTGTATATGACCTGCCTAAGATTAACTTAAACATTTAGACTACATAAAGGTGTAGTCTTTAAATGACTCTAGAATGCATTTTCTTCCTCTGAACTCTACCCACTATCGAAAACAAAGTTTATGGAACACTTACCATTATATCTCCTTTCAACAGCTGGGCTGGTTCAATTGCAATGCAGGCTCTATTCTGATTCTCTAGCCCTATGCTACTAAAAAAAGGAGAATCATGTAAATAATAATTTGAAATATTTTCAAAAGAAAAACATGTTAACTGGTCCAACTCCAATATTACATAATAAAAATGCAATCCTGTTGAGACTGTATCATCAGTCATGAACATCATTCCTTGCATAGGAAAAAAATGAAGTTTAGAATCTAAACCGTGTTTTGCTATCACATTTTGCTATACATCACTTAGCTTTGTGATCTGCATAACATAGTGCATAGAAAAGGCACACATCAAAACTGTTTTGTGTTTACTTACTATACTCCTGATGTATAAACTGGCAACATGTCCTCATACAACTTCAGAAATGGTTGACAACCTAAAAGGGGGAAAATTACAAATATCTAAACTTTTTAAAGGAACATGTGAGTAACACTGACCCTACTCTTCCTGTACATTATATGGGATACTCTGGATTAGAAAAACAATTGAACTGTATGCTTGGCTAGGAGTCTAGGAGTCACTGGGTTGCATTTTAATAATGAAATAAATAAATAAATAGTGTTAGTAGTAATATACTGATCTGGAACCACTAATGCCATGAAGAAAGGTTCTACTTGGAATGTCTTTTAAACAATTAGTCCTCTACTTTGGACTACAATTGGGCCCAGAATCTTAGTCATGGAGCAAAGTGGCCATTAAATAGGACCTCCACATGATCACTTTGTTCAACTACTGCAATCATACCATGTTTCCCTGAAAATATGACCTACTCAAAAAGTAAGGCCTAGCCTGATTTTGGGGGGGGGTTGTAGGCCTAATATAAGCCCTACCCCAAAAATAATCCCTACTGAAGTGGGGGGGCAGCACAGGAGGCAGCCCTACCCTTCCCCGGTCACCTCAGGACTGCTCAGCCCCTTAATTGGGGCCTGTGGATCAGCTGAGCCACTCCGGCTGCTGCCTCCAGTAAGTGTGGCCACTTTTGCAGCCAATTGCGGCTCCAAAAGATGCTGGAGGCCAAGCGACACACCCCACATACCTCGCGCCCTCCTTACCCGATAGTGACAGTCATAGCAGGCAATTCTGTCCATGGAACAGCTGCCTCGTCGGTGCCGCTCAGGCCGCCACCTCCAGCAAGTGTGGCCACTTTTGCAGCCAATTGTGGCTGCAAAAGAAGCCGGAGGCCAAGTGACGCACCCCTCACATCTCATGCTGTCCTTACCCAATGGTGACAGGCACAGCAGGCAATTCCATCCATGGAACAGCTGCCTCAGCTGCTAAGGCCGCCATCTCCAAAAAGTGTGGCCAGGCAGGAAATGGAGTACAGGCAGGAAAATCCCCCTCGCAATTTTCCTGCCGATTGCTGAAAAGGGTCCCCCACAAGCCCTCAGCATATCCCAGGATTGCAACACTGAAGACTCAGCAGGAAAATTGCGAGGGGGATTTCCTGCCTGTATTCCTTTTCCTGCCTGTTCTCCCGAAACCTCCCCGCCACTTGGTTTGGGGCGGACAGCTGCACAGCTCACTTAAATTGCAAAAAAGGCTCCATCCTGAGCCTTCAGCGTTGCAATCCTGGGATACCTTCTGCTTCCCGGTGCTACTCTGGGGCTTGCATAGTGCCGAAGGTGGGGAGGCCATCGGAGAAGCCCCATGTGGCCCCCGCCTGCTTCTGCTTCTGCTTCTGCTTCACCTTCACCGGGGCAGCAGGCACTAGAAGGATACTGTCCTCGGCTGGGCAGTCCCGAGCGTCATCCCGAAGCTTCCCCACTACTTGGTTTGGGGTGGACGGCCCTTGCCAATCCTGCTTCATGGCTGCGCAAATGGAGCCCACATCAGCCGCTGCTTCACTTGGGAGAGGAGGCACTATGAGGCAGCCCATTTGTCTCATTGGCCAGGAGGGGGTCACCCATGCAGGTGCCAGGCCTCAGGGTACCACCCTGAGCAGGTGCTGAGCTGGAGGCAGGGGAGGGTTAGTCCCCTTACCTGGCTGCCTGCCCACCACCCTTTCTCAGTGTGTGTGTGTGTGTGTATGTGTGTGTCTGAGAGAGAGAGAGAGAGAGAGAGAGAGGGAGGGAGGGAGGGAGGGAGGGAGGGAGAGAGAGAGAGAGAGAGAGAGAGAGAGAGAGAGAGAGAGAGAGAGAGAGAAAGCAGAGAAGAAACCCTTTCAAACAGTGTTGCCTGTAATTCTTGTTACTCCCCTCCATCGTTTCTCTTTCTCTTTCTGTCTCTCTCACACAGAGAGACATTTGATTTCTTGAAAAGGACAGGCTGCACTTTGCTTCTACCATAAGACTCCCCCCATGAAGCCTTCAGTGTATCCCAGGATTGCAACGCTGAAGACTCGGAAGGAAAATTGGTAGGCATGACGTTTCACAAAGGTCCTTAATTCACGGATGCTGGCTCCCTCGCTTTGCACTTTTACACATACTAACATATCCACCCTGCCTGGGGCTGCCATTTTCCCCTCCCAATACTCAATTTCTGAGGAAAGAAGAGCGCTAGGGCGGTATTGGACTTTCCCCCTGCCCTGGCTCCTCTCAGCCTCAACTTTGCTCCTGAAAGCCTGAAGGTCACTTCTCTGGTTAAGCTTCGTCAGAGCTTGGTTCTGGGAGAGACCCTTGGAGAGCTGAAGGTGGGCTGAGGGCAAGGGGCAAGGCAAAGCTGATCTTTGCCTTCTCTCCCAAAAGCGGTCCTCGGACACAGCCACCTCTGCAGCAGGAGATGTGTCCCACATGCCTCGTGCCTTGCATTGGCCTTCAGAAGGGTAGTTTAGCAGCAGCTATCCACAATTTTTTACTGTTATTTTGTCACGACCCATGTGGCCCAGTACAGTGTTAAAAGTTAACATTTCTGAATTGTTACCATAGCTACGGAGGAAAGGACGTTGTGCAGGAAAATTTCCCCCCCCTCCACCTACAGATCGTTCTTTCAAAGATGCACATCCAAAATCGTTCCCTCCATGGCTTCAGAGCCTCCAGTCTTGCAATCCTGTGCAGGGAAGGCAGAGGTTTGCTCCGAAGCTGCAGCAGCAGAGGGTTGCACAAGGAGACCTCTGCAGCTATGGTAACATTTCTGAATGCTAACTTTTAACGCTGTACTGGGCCACATGGGTCGAGACAAAATAACAGTAAAAAAATTGTGGATAGCTGCTGCTACAGTACCCTTCGGAAAGTCAGCACAAGGTGCATGGGGCACATTGCTTGGCCTCCTGCTGCTTTTGCGGCCGCAATCGATGGCAAAAGCACACACATGCTTGCTGGAGGCAGCTGTTCCATGGACGGAATTGCCTGCTGTGACAGTCACCATTAGATAAAGAGGACACAAGTCATGTGGGGTGCGTTGCTTGGCCTCCGGCTTCTTCTGCGGCTGCAATCAGCTGCAAAAACGGCCAGGCTTACTGGAGGGAGCGGCCTGAGCAGCACCCATGAATCAGCTGTTTCGTGAATGGTAGAATGGTCTGCTGCTACCCTTCGGGAAGCTGGCACTAGGGGCCACTCATCCCCCCGTCTCATATCAGTACATGGGAAAAAAATAAGAACCCCCCCCAGCCAGTTTTTCGGGGTCAAAAGAAAATAAGACCTTATTAGTTCTTATTTTTGGGGAAACATGGTAGTTCTCCCAGTTGCAGCTGTTTAATTATCATGTAGCAATTAAGTGGAGTGCCGGGGAGAATGCTTGGCCTCCTGGAGTGGAAGAGGGCCCAGGCATGCTATCACACTAAGGAGACCTGGATTTTCTTCCTGCTCTACTGGGGAGAATCACAAGAACATTGGCACAAGAATCACAAGAACATTGGCATTCGCTAGATGTAAGGTCCATTCCTTCAGTGCAATGAGGAAATTCTCCTCTGGAAAGAAAATGCGCTGGAACAATAAATCTTACATTTGTGAAAATGCTAGCAAATGCCATTGTTCTGGAAGACTCAGAATGCTGGTGTTTGCTAGTATTTTCCCCTTCATTCCTTGTTAGATAAATAAATAAATGAGTAGCAGTAGCAGCATTAGCAGTAGTAGCAGCATTAGCGGTAATAATAATAATAATAATAATAATAATAATAATAATAATAATAATAATAATAATAATATATTGGTCTGGAGCCATAAAGAATAATTCGAGTTGGTATTTCTTTTAAACAGGTAGTTTCTACTTGGAATCTTGAGTGAAGTGGTCATTAAGCAAGCCCCTACCTGATGGCTTCTCACAGTTACAGTTTTTATTTATTATTTAGCCATGTCGGAAACATCATTATTAAAATTTTATGCATAGGTATAAAATTACAAACATAAGAACATAAAATTTTAAATACATAAAAGCCTAATTTAGTCAGTGCTTGCCCAGAAGCTTGCAACACCATTTGCATCAGGGGTGGTATTCACTTAGCTTCGTTACGGGCTCACAAATGTGAGCGTGTGCGCGCTCACTTCGCTCACATGCGCCACCTCCACGCATGTGCAGGACTTTCCATGCATGTGCAGAGCATTAAAAACGGGATGTGATTATGTCTGGGTGGGGGGGGCGGACCCCCCCGCCATTGCCGCTACCAGTTCTCCCAAACCGGATAGAACCAGCTGAATACCACCACCAGGTTGCATGCTGCTGTGGTGTCATAAGGTCCTCAAGAGTACATTGGGCAGGGCACAGGGGGCAATGTATGGTTGTTTGCAAATCTCCAGATTCACAATAGGCAGAAGTCACCAAATATTTCCATTTATTCAATGTATCTCTTGATCTTGTTGTACCCATGCACAGTTTATTTAGTGATTTCCAATCTTCCCAATTTTCATAATAGCCAGATGCCAGCTCCTCTGCAAGTTCTACCAATGGTAATCTTTTTAGCTTTCCATAAATTTATTCTACTTTTAAATTTATCAAACTCTTCTGTCAATCTAACGAAACAAAGCAAGGTTATGGCATACACTTGAAATGAGATCGGGAAGCCTGTAATTGTGGAGTCTGCCTGACAAGAACAAAGAATGCTTATTCATGGGGAATATGTATGTGCAATGCATATGCATGTGAAGTGCATGTATAGCAATTCTAGGTGGTTGGAGACTGATAGCAGTAACAAAGAATTAGACATTCTGCATAGCTCAGGTAAAAGTTAGGAATAGAGATGGTCTGGAGAAAATAGAATGTGTATTAGATAACTTCTGGAGCATTCATTAGCCAACGTTTAGGAATAGGGATTGCTAGAGACCAAAAGAATAAATTGTTAGATCATAACTAAAATGTTTATTAGATGATATTTCCTATTATCCCACCTTGTCCTGCCTTCTGGTTTAATAACATTGTATAAAGCTTTCTTAATTCTTTGTTCTGGGCTCTTGGCATTTTTGCCAGGACCCCTTTTCTTGGAGCACTTCAATAAAAGGAAACAAACAAATTTTGTGTCTGGCATCCTTCATCGGCCTCAGCATCAGGCTCAGACCTGAATTGTAGACAACAGAAGCTTTTCCTAGATTTTAATATCTCAGGACCTGGTTGTAGGCCTTAGAAAAAGTGCCATTTGGAAATTAAATTTAACAGTCTCTTTATATGTTTTGATTATTCTATTAGTATCTATTGGCCCAGCATGTGCTAATTTATACTATACTGGGCAGTTAAGCAAACACACGGGCTGTTTCTCCATAAGAGAAACACTATAAAATGCCAGAGTTATAAAAGGCTCAAAATTTCGCTTCCCCTCCAGAGTCTTTCTCAGCCTTAAAGAGAGGAAGGGAAACACTAGTGAATGCCAATATTCTGAAGAGATTATAATATATTTGCTAGCATGCTAGTCAGATCCTTTCCTCCAGTGCATAGGAGGTTTTCCCCTCCCTGCATGGAAGGGAAGGAAAATCTCTATCGCACTGGGCAAATGGATCTCCAATTCAATGTCCTCTGCACTTGCAACCTTCCCTGTGAGCTTCCCTATTGACTTTCTGGGGAAGTAGGCATAGAAGATTGTAAATAGCAGTCATATAATCACAGGGCATTTGGTTATAAATGTGAACCTTTTGCCGAGTGCCAAAATACAGTCATGTGAATGGGGGAAGGGGAATCCATGACATTTTACAATAACCAGACATGTTTCATGAGCCATAAAGCACCCATTTCAAGGCCACAGTGATTGCAAAGGGTGGTTAAATGACTGGTCATAAGTTAAAGACTATCAAAATTAGCTTTGCATAACAATGAAAAGAATAATAGTTGTAAAGACTATCAGAGTGTATAATTTATCAGGATATATTTGCATAGAATCCCCTGATAACAATATTCTGGATGTTTCCCAGTTATTTTAGAAAGCCAAACTTTAAGATCCTTTTTCATTAGGGAATATTTATTCCTCCCATTAGGGGCATTAAAAATGGTGAGGATGCAATAATTGCAACCAAGTTCTGCAACCAACATAACAGTTAACAGCAATTTCACACAGCAAGATAAGCAAAGATACACAGGGAGATTTTTCTTTTGGTAACAGATATTGATGAGAAATGAAAAAAACTGAAGTCAAAATAAGTAATTTTTAAAAAGAAAACCTTACCTCCACTAATACCAAAGTTTGGGATTCCATGCAGAATAACATAATGTAAGAATAGAGGGTTTGTATTCATTTTTACCAATCCAGAGAGAAGATCATTCAAAAACTGCACATATCTAAAAAGGAAAAGAGTTGTGTTGAATGAGTAGGGAAAATATGCATTAGCATGCAGAAGAAACCATGACTACCAATTAGCAGTCAGAAGAGCATGATGAAAACTCCTTAATTTCATAACATATGGACAGACTCAACCATAGTTTCAACTGAGGGACCATATGCTTCTGGATCAAGCCAAGTCCAAAAAGTATAAGAGAATTCTTGGAGCCCTGACACTCAGATAATTTGGTCATCAACAGGCACATATAGAAAAACAGCTTCTACATACCACTCAAAAGAGCCCCAAAGGAAACAAAAAGATCAAAAACATCTCCTCACCAGCAATTAACATCCATATGAGCAGAGATTAACACAAAGATTAAAACTAGACCAACAATCAAAAATTATACAATGAAGTAAAGAAGAAAACATTCAAAGAACTACCAATGCAGATAAACAAGCAAACAGTAAACAACAGTCTAATCAAAGAACCACCAAGAACATTACCACCAACATTGACAGGGCAAGCCACTAGTTAGTATATAAAAATAAGAGCAAACCCCGTTCCATTCTTGCACTGATGATGTTACCTAGATTGGTAATGAAATGTCTGCAAAAAAAAACCAGTTCAACATTGAGCTACAAATATTCTCTTCTATTGGCTAGTCAAAGGTTTCGGTTCTTGTGAACAGTATTTGATAAAAGAAAAACTATATAAAAAAATCAGAATGCTTTAATTTTCATAGTCCATATTGAAAAAGCATTATTCATTTTACTCCCACACTGCTACTCATCTATGCCCTTCCGGATAATGTTTACAAGTACATCAAACTTTTCAAATAATGCATTTATTTGTAGAAACAGATCTGAATGAGAAAAGCTTTTCAGGATAAATATTTATTACAGTGTAAAGTTTCAAAGGGATATGTGTTTCTTTTTTCATGTCAATAGGCAGTTGTGTAGGTCTCCAGGGAAAAATAGTGACTCCCTGGGAAAGTTTTTATGTAGTGAAAGACAAACAGATGCATTGCCAGATCTGGTTTTCTTTCCAACATTGTTTTCTCAATCACTACTAAGGTTTCCACTCTTTAAACAAATTATAAAGTTATTGAATGCCTTATGAAAAAGGGATAGTAACTATGACTACCAAATCATATTACCAACTATTTCCCCATCCTCCTCTACTTTTCCTATCAAGCAATATGATATTAAACTACAAATAATAATTATCTAATCACACTCTCTTCCATTCTGGTCTCAAATGTCAATTTACCTGAATTTGTACTACCAATTTCCACCTGTTCCAAAATCCAACATAACAGTTTCTCTTTCTCTTAAAATCCTTTCTCTTAAAATCCACCATAACAGTTTCTATGTGGTCTATAATTCTTGCTTCACATTTAGATAGAGGATAAGAAAAAAATCACCTGGCATGATCAGATGCAACTATAATTGTTTATAAACAATGCTTGTTATGTCACATGAATTCATCTTTTTTTTTGAAGAAAAAAACACAATAAACAAATTGGGATTTTCTTTCATATTAGGTCTATTATTGTTAGTTAGCATGAACAGCATATCAAAATAAGTATTAACCCAATACCCAAGTATAAATCTTGGAGCGACTGTTTTACAGGAATATATTGACTGAAAAAGAAATGCATAGTTACTGCAAAATAAATTAAAATATATTCCTATGTTAATTATTGTGTGCAGAAACTACCCAATCCCAGAATGGGATAATTTGCTGCGCCCAAATCACCATAGCCAGCTTGCCACAACTATCTCGCCATAGCCATCTCACCACAGCCATTTGACCACATGACAATTCCATCTCAATGCGATAATTGTTATCCACCACTGTTTCTTCTACATTATTTCCATTGGCAAAAATGCAAAAAATGTACAAGAAACAGATAACATGGCAGGTAACATTTATTGTGTTACATTATCCTGCATGGATTGTCCTGCAGCAAGTTGTCTTGTGGCGAGATGGCCATGGCAAGACCACCATGGCAAGATGGCCATGCCCAGGTTGGCCACAATGAGATGTTCACAGCAAATTGGTTATAATAAGATGGCTATGGGAAGATGGAGTTCACTGTAGCAAGTTCTCCTAGACCCGTCCAACCCACAAGAACTAGATATAGGGACCCAACTCCACTGAGGAGTATTCCTCACTTATTTATTAATGGTACTGAAGCTTGATTTCAGAAAGTAAAGTGGTTGCTGTGAGATATCTGTCCCCCACCCCACCGCCATCTCTAAATTAAGGTCTATGTTTCTTTTCTCTGTTCAATAATATTATTAGGACCTATCCACTAGAATGCATCAACAGTCAATATTTCCCCCTATTTCCTGGCAGTTAAGTATCTGAAATTCCTCTAGGGAACTTTTGATCAAACAACACAAAACATAACTTTATATAAGCTAGCTCAGTGTTTCCCAAACTTGGGAACTTCAAGATGTATGGACTTCAACTCCCAAAATCCCACAGCCAGCCATGCTGGATGGGGAATTCTGGGAGTTGAAGTCCACACTTCTTAAAGTTCCCAAGTTTGGGAAACACTGAGCTAGCTCAACCGCCTGATCATATAGGACATGCTCTATAGGACTCTAGAGAAAGGTGAAACATATTTGCTCTTGGTACAAGAATAACAAGAGGGGCTGACATTCTTCTCTCCAAAGCTGTACATTGATGCACTTTCAGGAGCTGTTGTTTACAGTAGTGGTAATGATCCAACCAGATCACTCTGATATAGATATCTTAAGATGCTTTACTGTTATTATTATTACCATTTGGAATAACTTTTTCAGATTATTTGGACACTATATCTTTCTCTGATTTTTATCAGCCTCCTGCTCTGCTCATCAGTACCTGGTCAATACTTAGGTCATCATAGGTTCAAAAGGCTACAACTGGGATACATGATGGTAGCCAAAATGCAAAAGTTTTTGTGAGTTGAGGACAGCCATCCATCACTGATTCCTTTTCCCCTTCTTTCCTTCCCTTTTTTAAAATTAGCAAGCATAAAAAGTTTTTATTTCTCTTACAACCTCCCCATTTTTGGATCAGTTGCTGCAATATCCTATTTGAAACATGACTGACACCTGAAACAAGATATACACACTTCACAAGAAGAGAAAAGGGCTGAAAGAAGAGGTAAATTTAAGAAATGTCCATCAACTGGTGGAGCCCTGGTAGTGCAGCAGACTAAAGTGCTGTTAAGTAGTACCAGCTGCCTGCAATTACTGCAAGTTCAAATCTCACCAGGCTCAAGGTTGACTCAGCCTTCCATCCTTTCTAAGATAGGTAAAATGAGGACCCAGATTGTGGGGGCAATAAGCTGACTTTGTATAAAAATATACAAAAGTATGAAAGCTATTGCTTAACGCATTGTAAGCCGCCCTGAGTCTCCGGAGAAGGGCAGCATATAAATCAAATAAAAAAAAAAACAAAAAAAAAACCATGGACAGGGGGAGCGAAGAATGGTATTTACTGAAACAGGAAGATGTTTTTGAGAGAAAAGATGTTTCTAAAAGAGAAACTGAAATACCTTTTCTGGGATGGTTGCATTAAAGCAGAAAGATTATCATCAAAGAATTTCTTCATTGCAAATCTGTCCAGGGCTTGATCTGCACTATTGTGAAAGGAAGAGAGAAAATGTAAATCCTTCAGGGGACCAATCTTGGAAATAAAGGTTGCTATAAAGTAAATCATGCCAAAGCATTGCAGTATGTTGTGTTCTATTTGGCACATGCATTTACCCACCCACCCACCCCAATACAACGAAAACAAATTACAGCAACTCTGAGAAAATTTTCAGCTGAAAGAAGAACTAATGCATATGCTAATTAAAATGTTAATGCTTCTTTTCCCATCCCTTCTAAACAAAATAGTTTTTATGTAGTGTTCTACAATCTGGTATATAAATATTGTTTTCAAAATAGTATATTTAAAAATATGTCCATGTGATATTTGAAAATTATTTAAAATTATTAATTTTACTCCAATTACAGTGTATATCATTTATACCTAAAATTTCCTTGATTCCAGTGAGATCTGAATCCCAAAACACTATATTTTAAAATACAGTCTCCACTTGGCCTTTATTCAACAACAATAAAAATACTAACTCTAAATAAATCTCTCTTATATTTTAAATAAAGAGGAAGGGAAGAGTGAAATAAAAGGATTTTTAAGGATTTTCCCCCTCCAAACCCTGAATCATTAACAATTTCAGCTTTAATTCTTGATACTGTATCTGTTACCCAAAACAACAACAAAATAGGAAAAAAAATTTCTGAGAGAGTTTCTGGTGGGAAAATAAAAATTAGAGGGTCAGTGAATTAATTGCAGTTGCTACCACTAAAATTAGGTGAGCATAGATTCAATTAGGCCTCTTCATAAGCAAGCTTTAAACATATTCATTGCCTTATGCTCTGCATCTGGCCTTATCATTCAAATCTTTTCTAACATCCTACATAATTTATGCCATTCTAGGCCTAGCATTCTAAGTATAAGGCACTAAACCTATTTTCACTGGTGATATTTGCAAATAAGAAAAAACAAAACCGGTTTCACAATCACTAAAAGAGAATGAAGTAAAGTCCCCCAAAAGTCTAAATATGACTGTAACAGGCACATTTTCATTGATGTCAAAACTCCATTGACATCCTGGCCAGAAAAATCAAGATGGTCTGTATCCCATTTATTAAAAATAATTAAATAAAATATATTTTGATCAACAGTGGAATAAAACACTATCTGCAAATAACATCTGTCTGTCCGTCCATCTGTCCGTCCGTCCATCCATCCATCCCTCCATCCACCTATTCTACTAAGGACAATGCACAATATATAAAAAGCAAAAATATAAAAAGTAAATATAAATATAAAAACTATAATAAATATTCTAAAAAAACAGCCTGATCCTCCTCCAAGATAGGCCTGTTCCTCCAAGATGGAGTTCTGAGTGACAGAGGGATTTGCTTCTTGTCGACAAACAGCTGATTTTGGGAAAAAACCTGTTTAAACTCTTGCCGCGGGGCTTCAAAGGGCCGCCCTACGTTGATTAGCTCGGCTTCCCCCTCTCAGCTGATTTGCGCAGGGCTCTGCTCTTGCTAAATTGCTCAGCAGTTTTTTTTTCTCTTTGTGCAAACCAAGCTCAAAACGAAACTGAAAGTAAAACAGGCTGTTGGCTTTGCTGTTTGCTTGCAACATTGGAAAATTAGGCAGCAGATTTATTTTCCTTTTCCTCACCAAAAAAGGTAGGTGCAAACAATGGGAAATTATTTAGGGCAAAAGAGATTTTAAATTCAAGATTTTAGATTCAAGATTTTAAAACACAAAAGAAAAAAAAGCTCTTTTTAACTAGGGAATTGTAATAATTGAGATACTATTAATTGTATACTGTGTTGAAAGCAGAAATGGTTAAGTTGTGGTTTGGAGGAATATATGGGGGAAATTATTTGGTTTATTATTATTGGTAAATATAATTAATTGATTTGTAAGAAATTGGATTGCATGGAAATAATTGGAATATTCATGTTCATATTGATTGATATACAAAAAAGATAGTTATATAACTAATTGATTTATATTAAAATGTTGAATTTGTATTAAACAACTGTATTACATAATTACATAATTAACCAATGTGAGGATGGATATAAAAATAGATGACAATGCGAAGGGGTATAATATAGAATAGAAGGGAAAAATTGAATTTGATTAAGATTAGAGATGAGGATGAAGGGTAATATTGTTTTTTTTAAAAAATAGATGAGGAATAAATATGGCAAAAAGGAAATATAGAAATTGTAAATTTAATTGAAATGACTAAACACTGTTTAAATTTGTGAACCAGCCAAATATTCTGTTCAAAGAAAATACATTGTATGTTTGTATGTGTGTTTCTAATTATTGCTATTTATTCATATTTGTTCTCTTTTATTCTTTAAAGTTTAACAATTCATTCTTTATCTTAATATCTTTATATTTGTTTGGGGTTGGCTTTCTTCCCTTTCATCTTTTTTATTGTACAGCAATCTTTCTCCTCAAACCTACCACCTCTCTTTTCTTTCCTTCTTACTTTCTCTTCCCCCCACCCTCTTCTTCTCCTCCCTATTTCCTCTTCCTTTCTCCTTCTTCTCCTCTCTTCCTCCCTCTCTTACCGTCACTCCTACTCTAATTTCCCTTCCCTTCCTTCATCCCTCTCTATTACTGTATCCTTTTATGCATATGGACTACTCAGAGGGCTGAAAAAGTTATTTTTGACTGGTCCTCGCACTTTTGACCAGTCCTCGAACTTACGACTGTCCTCACATTTTACGTTTTTTGCCCTATCTTATCACCATGGTGAAGAGAAGCAGTTGTGAAATGAGTGACATGGTTGTTAAGAATGCTGCACGGGCATAAATGTGAGGATGGTCATAAGTGTGAGGACCAGTCAAAAGTGTGAGGACCTGTCAGAAATGACTTTCCAGCCCTCTGAGTAGTCCCTATACACATAGCCATGGCCACCCGGTCACATGACCAACTAGCCACGCCCACCCAGTCACATGGCCTCCAAGCCATGCCCACACAATAAGCCACGCCCACAATGGTGTCCCTCTTACCAATGTTAAAATCTGTTCATCTTACCCTATACACATAGCCATGGCCACCCGGTCACATGACCAGCTAGCCACACCCACCCAGTCACATGACCAGCTAGCCACACCCACAAAATAAGCCACGCCCACAATGTCCCTCTTTACCAATGTTAAAATCTGGTCACCTTAGGTTAGAGAGTTGGATGTCCATCTTTCCTCTCAGCTGTTTGGTTTCTTTAAGTATGCTTGGCTTGTAATTGCACGTTTTAAAATTGTTTCTTTTAATTTGATTCTTATTTTTAAAAGTTAGTTGACTGGTTGAAGGCTGATTTACTTTAACCCCTTGCTGGATTTTAATTTTCAACTTTCTTTTCTTTCTTCACGGGGTTGTTTTTTTTCAACTGCTTTTTAATCTACAAATTCAAATTGAAAACTAGTAAAAAGCTTGATAAAATTACCAGGTGTTAAAATCAGCTTAATGCAAACCACTGCAGTCAAGCCAGATTTACAATTAGATGGACTGAAATCTAAGTCGTGGCTGGCAGATCCAAAGCAGCAGAAGTTTGGCTGGAAAACAGAAGGTCTGTTGCAGAAATTTGAAGAAATCTGGATTTTACAGATTTAGAATTGGTAGATTCAATGAGTGATGAGATGGATGTTTTAAAGAAGATTGATGAAGAAAAGACTTATTACCTAACTAGAAAACGATTTAGACTAAATTGACAATGAATCAATTTTGGAAAATAGATTTATTATATCTAACCAGACAGCTGACAAGAGATTTTGGTTTACAGAGAGACTGTCTCAACAATGGATGTGGTGGAGATATTTACAGCAGAGGTTTAGGATATTGGAAGGTGAGGTAATTGCTGGGAAAGCTACTCCCAATAAAAATTTTAAGGGTAAGTTTTATTATTAAGAACCAATTGAAGATATTTGATCCCAGAAGGATCAGAGATAATCATTATGATGACTTGTGGCAAATAGGAAGCCATTGTAAACTTTCTATGAGTTAAATACAATAACTAATTGTTAACAGAGGGCTTTGAAGTTTGCTGTTGATTTACCCGTTAACTACTTTAGCAGATGGAGGACAGGCAAAGTTGGTTGAAAATAGATGTCTACAAACTGTGGTCCTGTTTTGCAAGGGAAAAACCTAACATTGTAATATATTTATTAGTAATGAACTGGGGGGGGGGGACGATAATATATGCATATGCATATGTGTTTTTATCTTTTGGTTTTTTTAATACACATTTAAAAAAATATTTTGTCTATTTTTGTTTGCTTTCTTTGTTTGTAAATTTTGCCTGGATTTTTTTGGAATTCGTATTTTACCTGTGTCTTCTACTGTGCCATTGGTTTTTGCTCAAAGTTTCTGATGTTTCTACTGACTCCTGTTATTTCTAGGCACTTGATTATTGTCATGGGGCAGAGTCAAATGCCTTTTTGTAGTCAATCCATGCTACAATCAGATTGGTCTTCCTTCTCTTGCAATTTCCCAAAATCATTTTGTCAATTAGGAGTTGATCTTTTGTTCCTCTGCTATTGGAGCAGTTTCCTTTCTTGTCAAGTGGAAAGGGATTGTTTTCAATTAGATGCTGTTGGACTGCATCAACTACCACACTAATTAACAATTTGAAAGTTGTTGTAAGCAGGTAATTGGCTGGTAGTTGCCTGGTGCTGCCCCTTTTGCTGGATCTTTCATTATCAGGTAGGTTTTCCCAGATGTTAGCCACTCTTCAATTTCATCTCTTTATAGTATGTTGTTAAACTGCTTAGCAACGAGTAGATATAGACCAGTTAAATGTTTCAACCAAAAACCATGCAGTTCTTCACTTGGTGCTGACCAATTCTTGGTCTTCCTTGCTCTTTTCTCTACCATTTCTGCTGTTATCACTACTTCTTTCATTTCAACTTTTTTATTCTTATCCACCTCTTTTAACCAAGCTGCAGCCTTGTTGTATTTCTTTGGATTATCCCATATCTGCACCCAAAACTGCAGTTTTTTCCTTGTTAGATAATGACTGCATTGAGTTCTTGCACTGAGTTGGTGCTTATATTTGATACTGTAGTATTTGCATCTGTTAACGCTTGTGCTAGCTGTTTCTTTGGAACAAGCTTTAATGCAGGCAACCATATTCTGAAGTTTTTATGCTCTTCTAGATGCTCAGATACTTTGTTTCAATTCTTTTACTTTTTTAGTTAGAGGGCTTTGTTCTTCCTGAGGTAGCAGAGAGAGTGCCTGGTTTCCAAATGAAAACAATTGTGTATCTCTGCTGCATGTCTCTACTGCCAACTCCCCTTGGTTTGCCTCTCCATTCTGAGTTACTTCTGGCAAGGCTTTGATTTCTTTGCCCTTGGTAAACCTTTGCAGTTCTTCCAATTCTGCTTCTGTGAGTACTTTATTTCATATTAGAAATCAGCTTTGATCTGCTAACCTCTGTTCTGTTATTTCTAATTCTGGATGTTGTTCTTTCCAGAACTGGTGCATTTGTTTCAAATATCCTCTTCTGTAATAACAAATCATTATTTCTTTGTTTTCAATTATTGTATATTTGCAACAGGTAAACACCTTTTCTTCCAGTAGTTCTGCAGCTGTTGGCCTTGGTTGCTCAGCCAATAGTCCTGAGTCCTGTAGCTCATTGATCACCAAATATCCAGGAATTCCAACATCTAGTGCGAACCTTGTTAACCTGGGTGATATCCGAGCTGATAAGGCTTTCTTTATATTTATATATCACTATATTTTTTTATGGGAGAGATACTCTTTGTCCGACTCCTATGATTTAATTTAATTTAATTTAATTAATTCAATTTATATGCTGCCCCTCTCCGAAGACTCAGGGCGGCTCACAATACATTCCAAAAAATCATTATAAAAAAACATTTAAAAAAACATTTGGTTTTCAACCATCATTTGGTTTTCAACCATCAACATGATGGTTGAACCTGACATAGCCCTCATCTTCCTCAGAGCACCCAAGCACTACAACCACACCAAAGTAAAGCTTTACTGGATAATATTACTATTAATATTGATCTTCGCAGTCAACCAGATGTTCAGCTTGGATTTGGCATTTTTGTCTACCTATTGAGTTCTTACCAGGCACCTGGGATAGGCAGATGTGGATGTCTGAATGTTTGATGGTATTACAGTTGTTGTTGTTGTTGTTGTTGTTGTTGTTGTTGTTGTTGTTGTTATATAAGATTTAATCTTCAATTTGATTCAAAGTCTGGGAGTGGTAAAAACTTAATAGTTCAAGTCCTAACCAAGGACCTCAGAGCTGTTAAAGTAGCATCTGAGGATGGCTGTTCCGAGCCACAATTCCCGTTAAATGAAATTAACTTTTGTATTTGCTGAATTATGGCGAGTTGTCACTGCAGCGAGTTGGCTGCAGTGAGTTAGTCAAGGCCATTCTGTCTTACAATCCCTCATTCTCTTGTCTATCCAGAAGCAGTGACTTACTGGGAAGAGACAGGGTGGGATAGGAAGGAAAAAGAAGAGAAGGGACTGTGAGGAAGGATCCCCACATACTTGTTTTGATCTGCAACCCCCTCCCATGAGCCTTCTCTGACTTACCCAGTACTTCTTGCACACTGCTACGTACCCATCCTTTGCATGTCTTCTATAATCTGTGCAGCACCTCTTGTGTACTCTATGCAACCCACACCCCTCCCTGAAGGGTTTCCTTGACCTATATGGCACTCCACAAACATATTTCCTGGTCCATGCTATGCTCCCACATTCCTTGTTGTTCCCAAGTTCCCTACTTGACTTGTGCAGCACCACATGGACCCTTCTTTATTATTACTATTCCCCACCGCCCCCCATACACAGTACTCAACTGCAGAGCTCATCTCACACAGACCTAGGACCCTTCCCAGACCCACACCATCTATCCATTCACTCCCTGATCCATGCAATATCTTTGGTGTACCCGCCATACCATCCAACATCCACAGCTCCTATGTACCATTTTTGACCCACACACTTCCATACATCACTCCTTCCCTCCCCACCTAGCAGCAGCCATTTATCTTCATGCTGGCCATCGATTTGCAACTTTCTATTGACTGGCTTCACCGTTTTTCAAGCTTCCCACAAGCAAAGTAAATGGAGAAGCCAGTAGGAATGGGAGGGAGGGAATGAAAGAATGACTGGGAGTGAACGGAGGAAGGAAGGAATATTTCTGATGCTCCCTACCAGTTTTCTACAAGGAAACTCTACTAGTAAATAAATATTTTCAAAGTGGTATTGAAAAAAAGGCATTCAGGAAGACGTGAAAGTCTCATTTATCTCATAGGCCAGCTCTGGATTTTATTCATGGTTATCCTAGAGATGGCTAAAAACTAGAATATTTCAATTAATTAGCTTTAGATTGTTTTTTTATTCTGATAGAAAGCAGTTAGGAAATAGCCACATAATCATTAAATGTTTTGTTATCCTACCTTGCAGATACATTTGTGAAGTGCATGTATGATGAGATCACCAAACCTATTCTTCCTTTTCCACCCTGTACAACATAAAACATAAATATTTTCTATGTTTTTAAACTGGATATATTTTATCTTTATTCTATTTTTAATAACTGCAGACACTGTTTTCATTTTATATGACATTTTAGGATCATAACAAAGCTATAAATTACAGGAAAAAATCTAAATATAGTGTTAACAATATTCTGTTAGCTATTCTAAGACAAGTCTAGGCATCTCTGCTATTTCTTGCAGTGTGCTCTGAAAGATTTTGAAAAATGTATGTTTTCCAGCACATAATAAACTCATAACATTTCTTGTGATACTTATGATTTATAGCCAAGATTGCATTTAATGATTACTTTCACAATGTTTTGAAATCTTATTAAACATACTGCATGCATTCAGTACAAATTACTAACAGCAATTCTACTAGTCTTAACTTGTTTCAAAATTACTCAGAGAAGAAAGCCAGCTAATTTATGGCTGATTATAAATCAGTAAAAATGGCATTGCTGCTATTTGTATAGGAAATAGAGAAAATTATAACATTTAAAAGCTACTGTCTGGTTATTAACAAAATCTATTTGGGATTATATTAGATTTTTTTCCCCTTTCAAAATTAAGGTGAAAATTAATAGAAGGGGCAGAACTAGAATCCAGTGTTCATGAACTTTAATCCTCTGCTATTCTGAATAAAGGTTACAAAATAGACTGTCTAAACTGTTTGACTTCTAACTTTCAAGTTAAATTCAAAGTGCTTGGTATTACATACCACATATCAGTGTAATTCATTAATAAAATTACACATGAATTCCTAAATATGCAGAGCCCTTCCTCTTAAAGGAATTAATGTCTTCATACATTGTATCTTGGGATCTATTATTTGCCACTAATGGGTATTAATATGCAATTGTTATGGGTGACAGCCCAAAAATTACTAAAGGGAAGAAGTTCTTAGTTGTGACTCCTGTCCTTTGGAATTCCCTGCTCCTAATGTGTCTTCTCCAATTTGTTTTAAAAATAAGAACGACGTGTTGATTTACCTGGTTTTTTTTTTTTTTACTTATTATACTAATTCAGTTGGGCTTCTATAAAACCTTAAGTTCCTAGCTCTTTCAACAGGGCCTATATGAGAAGTAAGTAGAGAGCAGGGTGTCAAACTCAAGGCCCAGGGGCCAGATCCAGCCCACGGGGTACACGGGGTCCCATCTGGACTACTGTAATGTTCTCTACATGGGGCTCCCCTTGACGAGCACCCGGAGGCTCCAACTGGTCCAGAATGCGGTTGTGCGGGTGATTATGGGAGCGACATGGCGCTCCCATGTAATACTTCTCCTGCGCGAGCTGCACTGGCTTCCGGTGGTCTTCTAGGTGCGATTCAAGGTGTTGGTTACTTTCTTCAGAGCGCTCCATGGTTTAGGACCTGGGTACTTACGAGATCGCCTTCTGCTACCGATAGCCTCCCACCGGCCAGTACGTTCCCACAGAGAGGGACTCCTCGGGGTGCTGTCGGTCAAGCTATGTCGACTGGCGACTCCTAGGAAGAGATCCTTCTCTGTGGGGGCACCTGCCCTCTGGAACGAATTGCCCCGGGATTTACGGATGATCCCTGATTTACGCACCTTTCGTCGTGCCCTCAAGACACTGTTATTTCAACAAGCTGGGCTGGCCTGAATACCAAGATCAATTTTAAGTTATATGGGTTGTCTTTGTCTTAACTGAAATGGGCCAAATTATTTAATTCCTTTTAAACTGTTTTAAATTTTATGTGTGTTTGTTTTTATCTTTGGCTGTGCACCGCCCTGAGTCCTTCGGGAGAAGGGCGGTATAAAAATTAATTAAATAAATAAATAAATAAATAAATAAATAAATAAATAAATAAATAAAATACTTAGATCTGGCCTGTGGGGCTGCTCTGGAAACAGTGAAGAATGGCCGGGGTGCTTCTGCCAGAGAAAACAGACTCCCGAGTTCTGTTTTTGGCTGCCACAGCCTCCAGCAACCCTCTGCCAGTGAAAACAGAACTTGTGAGGGTCATACACAGCCCTCCTGAACTCCGTTTTTACTGGCAGTGGGTTGCAGGAGGCCGTGGCAGCCAAAAACGAAGCTCGGGAGCCCGTTTTCGCTGGCAGAGCGCTTGGGCCACCACAGGAGCTCCCGACAGGAGTGATGTTGTGATGGCCATGCCCACCCTGGCCACACCCACCCTGGTGCAACCCTCAATGAAATCAAGTTTGACACCCCTGGCATAGAGTGATCTGGTCCCTGATGGTTATTGTTGTGTTAATTACTTTTCCTGATGGTACAGAAACAATTTGGGAAAGGTGTGGGAAATATTGGAGAGTTTATAGAATCATAAGAAGGAAGGGGTTTGTGTGGCAAGGGGAAATGATCCAGAGAGAATTCTTAGAGTGGAATAAAATATACAGAGGAAGACAGAAGGAAGGAATGTACATTGGCAGATTGATATAAAGAGAGTGAAATTTGAAGGAGGAAGGGAGGGAGGAAAGGAGGAAAGTCATATTTTTGCATGTTAAAAATATAAAATGAGAAAAAGAAATTATATTCAAAGGAATAGATTTGTATTTGTGGCAAATAATCCAGTTTAGGGGCTTCTCACACTTACAATACTATTTATACCTGAACTGCCCTATAACATATTTGACAGTTTCCCAGCCTACTCAAAAAAATGTAAAAGCTTCCACAAGTATAGCCTATGTATTTCTTCAGACAATTAATGCATCTGAAGATTTTATAAATTTTCCATTACATATGGGATCAAAGTCCCACATGAGGCACATAGCTATTATATTATAACTCAATAAGTTAACTAAAAGATTTGTAACTGCAATTTACTCGGCAATGGATCACCACGATGTGTTGAGAATGACTGTTCAACCAGGATTCCATAGCCTTGCAGATGTTGCATATCTTATTAAGGGTTGGGGCATGGAGGTCAGGCCAGCCCACTTCCATAATCTGGAATAATTAAAAAGTGTTAGAAATATATAAAGGCAAACCTTTTTAGCAATTTACACAATTAATATATAGAATAAATATGTTTCATATTTTTAATTTCATAACGGTCTTTCCCACCTTATTTGCTCCCTACAAATAATTTTTATAAATGCTATGCTTTAAGTACTCATCAGAATCACTTTTCACTTTTTTAAATTACTCAAAATTCCATATGAAAATCATCAAAACATTACAAATACAAGCCTTTATATATACAATAATCATCTGATTACCAGATGGGATTCCCAGAAACACTTTTCTAAGCTATTCAGCAATTCTACCTTGGTAGCCTAATATCAAATAGAGTTATGAGATTTACCAGAGAAGCTGTTAAATAGCAATAACAACTCTAATGTTGTCCTTCCAAACTCTAAATATAAAAAGTATTAATTCAAATGAGAACAGCTTTTGTGTATTGAGAAAAAATATATAATCTGAAAGATAATTCAGATTCCCAGCAAAAATGGTGTGGTTCAGTGAGTATATATATTTCAGAATCATTGTGGAATCAGTAGTTGGACCATATAACTTCTTTACACAATAATCCACTAATCTAATAATAAGCAATGAGGAAATTATTTTAACAGGTATTTTTTGCTTAAAAATCAGTCTGTGAAAACCTGCTAACTGAAATGACAGTGTCCCCCTTGGCAATTTTGCTGGAGACAGTCTAGCCAAGCATCCTCAAAAATTCTGCCTACAATGTAAAAAAAAAAAACCAAAATAAAACAGAAACTCTGCACTTTAATACAAGAACATGTTAATACCTTTGGGTCAAGCTTAGCAAAGTCGTATCTTCTTTCAGAGAGGTTCAGCACCTGTTGCAGAGGAAAATATTTTTAGCATGAACATTAATAATTTAAACACTGCATCTAATATATTTGATAATCAAATTAAGCAGATGTGATAGTTCCTTAAAGGCCCTACAAATTTTATAACACAGGGGTGTCAAACTGGTGGCCTGCGGGCCAGATGCATCACACACAGGCCACACCCACTCTGGCTCCGTAAAGGCAAAAACGGCACAATACATCAAGTGACGTCATGTGACGTGATCAAGTTTGACACCTGTGTCATAATAGAAGAGTGACAAGCTTGAATATTTGTATTATTTCAAAGTTCTTCTGATTTTGACAAAACATAGAGGAATAATTCAGAATTGACTGCCAAGATTTCTTTTTATGAAAAAAATGTAGGCATGACCCAGCTCCACATAAGCATTCCTTAAAGCCACTGATTTCAGTGGAAGAAGCAAATACATTTTTAATTTACTCTCATTTTCATTTGAGCTAATTATTATTTTATTTCAATGCTGATATAAAGTATTATCCATTCCACAAGCATCACTTTTGTTCTATGTAATAATTTCCATTCTTATCTTTGTATTTTTATCTCAAATCAAAGTAATCAAGGGCTATGGAGGTAGGTATCTCTATTAACGGCTATTGTCATGACTCCTAAAACATAGATACCTGCTCAATAGCTTGCTGGGAAAAAAATTGGTGTTCCTATAAACATGTAGCTAAGGACTATTAGAAACTGGATGCTCAACAAAATAGGTTTAAGGTTTGATATCAATGAAGTTTATTTCCAAGTGTTTTTGAATTTGGAGATGTTCAATTTCATGTCTCATTAATATATTTTTCTCATACACAGAAAACTTAATATGAATACCTATACAGAAACCTTATTTTTAGTACAACACATAGTCCATTTTTTTCACTTCGGTCCTTTTTGTACACATATAAAAGAAACACATATGAAATATTTTATTTAGATATCTAAACCTGGGATTATAAAACAGCAACTAATCTCTCATTTGAAGCAATAAATTATAAGTACAAATTCGGAAAGCATAGTAGATTATGCCTTTTTATCTACTCAAGCAAAAGAACAAGCACAGTAAACTACTTTTGCATTCACTAGGCGCATAAAAAATAACTTGTATACTTATTCTTGGCTTCTTATTATGAGTAAATGCTGACACTATGATAGCCCATTATATTCTAATAAAATCAGAGAAAGGGAATAGAGCCTTGCATAACATTTCTTAAACATTTCTGAGTGGATAAATAAATAAATTTATTCATTTAACTATTATTTATTGGCTCCTGTCCAATAGGGCGGCAGTGACTAAGGCAATGCTCCATTACAGAGACAAAGATGTGCAAAGTTAAGAAAGATGTAAAAAAATAAAAATTTAAGAAGAAAGCGGAGAAGAAGAACCAGAACGAGAAGTTTAAGAAGTAAAGGAAGGAGAAAGGCAGGAAGAAGGATCAAGAGGAGAAGACGGACAAGAGAAGGAGAAAGGAGGAGGATGGGAAAAGACTGTACAGAAGTAACAAGCAATTAGTTGCTCCAAGCATGCAACTGGCTACAGGAGCAAGGAGCAGCAAGCAGCAATCATCAGCTGATAACCAACAAGCAAGCAGAGAGACATGAAGGAGAGACTAAGCAGTGACTGGTGAGCATGCAGAGACCAAGAGTATGAGTGAGGGCAAGCGTGCAAGTGAGCCATGGTCTCTGCACTGAACATGCAGAGGCCAGCGCCAGCACAGAGTAATCAGCCAGCAAGTAGACCAAAAGAGAAGAACCCAGTGCAGAACAATCAGGCATTCAGAGTAGAGAAGAAGAAAAAGGAGTAAAATCACAGATCAAATTAAGCAAACTTTAAAAAGTAAAAAAAAAGAAGACGAGGTGGACAGGGAGAAGGAATAGCAGAAAGGCAATGGAACATGCAGCACACCATTTGAGAATGATGGCAACTTACAAAAAGGTGGATGAAATAGACGAACTAAAGGAATGGGGAATGAGGACACTTTATTACAGTTTTATACTTTTATCTTAATTGTGATCATACACACATAGTATATTCTCTCCATTTTTCTCTATGCATTTTACCAACTGATTTATTTAAACACTAGCCACAAGAAAGAACTGAGGAATATAAACAATTTCACTTCAACAATAGCTACAAGAGGAGCTGAGAACTAACTTTTAACTTTTATTTCAGCACCAACCTCATAAATCCAGTCTCCATAAAAATAATAAATGATAAGTATGTCAGATCACAAGAGTGACCAGGAGGTGGTTGAAGTTGGGAAGAGGGGGGGGAACAGAGTAGACCTCCCCGAATGGCTAGGTGAGGCAAAGTAGACCTCCCCAAATGGCTAGGTGAGGTGGAAGCTTGCAGGAACCAGCTGAGATCTTGATGAACACTGGAGGTCAGAAAGAAAGAAGACTGGGAAGAAAAGCTCTCCGGATAACATTCATATACAGGAGCCGAGGGAGCCTCTGGAGAGAGCCATGCATCAAGATTGAGGGGGAGACAATTCAGGGTGAGGCAGACCAGAAGGATGAGTTGCTGGAGTACACAATCGAGTACTTGCAACCTCTAGGTGCATGAAGCTCTGGTGCAGATGGCACAGATGACTATCCAAACCAGCGCAACCCGCAGGCAGTGATGGTATGACGATATTGACCCCCGCAGCTATGGCAGGGTCTAGTTCCACAAACTGCTGCTGTCCCAGTCACTCAGCCAGCAGCATGCCTTGGGCTGCACCAGTGAGAAACAGAGGTCACAGACCATCAGCCCTAGAAGTGAGAGACCCTAAGCAACTGGGTTCTTCCTAGTTCAAGTCTGAACCTATATGCAAGAGTATGGTCCAGAAATATCCACCAAGGGGACAAAGGTGCAGTATATTACCAGGGCACTGGAGGGGATTGCAACAGAGTGGATGGTCAGCCTCCACAGTGACGATCCCCCGAGCTGCATAATTTTGACCGTTTCATGGGAACACTCTGAAAGTGCTTTGAAGACCCATTGGCTGACTACAAAGCCAGAACCAGGATCAAGACCATAAGTCAAGACCAATCGATCTGTAGCCACCTCCACTCAAGAATTCTGCAATCTGGCCTGATGACTGGCCACAGGATATGCTGATTCAGTGTGTCCAGGGCAGGTTGAATGATAATATCTACAACACCAGTATCTCCTGGAGTGACCCCTCCCCCTTTCCATGGCTGATATGTTTTGGCTGAAGAGGTCAAGTTCAACTTGGCTCTTTCATATCTCAGCCGTAAGGGGAAGAGATCCATCCTGGAAAAGAAAGAAGCCCCAAAGCTACTGGCCCACAAACAGACCCTGCACCAATGCTCCAATGGCTGTTTCAAGTGAAGGAGGGGCACTGAGCTGCCAAATGCCAACCTATATGCCCAGCCTAAAAGACACTCTGGGGACCAGCCAAGGAGCCAGGGAAGCTACCTCAGAGAACCCAAGAGATCGCCCTGGAGGGAGTGGAAGTCATTGATTCACCCCCTCCCCGAAGGATGGCAAGAGAACTATAACCATCCCAGATGATGGTCTGATGGAGAGTGATACTGATTATGATTATGATCCCTTGGTAAGTCAGCCAATGATCCCAGTAACCATCCCCACAGAACTGGTGGTTCCATCCTTGGGACACAAGGGGAACCTGACAGCTCTTCTGGACTCAGGTTGCACCAGATGCATGATCAACCCTGCCCTAGTTAAGAAACTAGGTTTAAGATTCAAGCAATTTAAAGTGCCTGTGGCTTTTTGCCACCTTTTGGCTCAGTAGTGGGTGGGGCCCCAGCAACATTCATCACCAAGCCAATAGAGATGAGAATGGGAGTGCACACAGAAACTCTTGAGATTTATTGTGGTACCTGGCATGGAGAGATCCCTCATATTAGCTTTGGCATGGCTACTGAAGTGGAATCCCTATGTGAACTGGAGGAGGAGGATGTTAAAGATGGGTGGGCCTGCCCAAAAGGGAACTGGAAAAGAAACTTGAGGGCCCTACCCTTAAGCTGCTGCAGATGAAGCCAAGAAGGGAGGTGGGAGCTTCAACGAAGGAGCGCCCCAAAGGCAATACTCAGATCCCTAAAGAATATTGGGATCTATGGGACCTTTTTAGTGAAAAGGGCTAAGACGTGCTTCCGCCCAACCAGCCAACTGACTGCTCCATAGAGATCCTATTGGGGGCTAAGTTGCCCAAATCTAAACCATTCTCAATGACCTCTAGAGAAATAGGTTTGACAGACACTGAGAACAATTAATCAGTGGAGCGTCTTGCCTCCAGAAGTTGTGGGTGCTCATCACTGGAGGCTCTTAAGAAGAGATTGGGACACTGGAGGCTCTTAAGAAGAGATTGGACAGCCATTTTTCAGAATGGTATAGGCTCTCCTGCTTGAGTAAGTGGGACTAGAAGATTGTAAAGATCTCCTGCTAAAGACTATCCCTTTCAACTTTTGAAAGTTGAATTTCAAAAAATATAAAGCTGCTAATGCTTTTGGGGTCATTTCACACATTACAAACAAGAAAATCTAGTAATATAAATATAACAATAGATACATCATCTAATCAAATGTTTAGATGACGAACGACATCATAGAGATTGCATCTCCTCTTACCATGTAGTTGCCACCATGTCTGGATTTAAGCATGCCAATTACATCTTGGAAGTTGTTTAGATAAATTTCCTCTGAGCAGCTTCCTGGGAACGATACCGCAATGATTCTTTCAGTAACATAAGTCAGGTCCAGTTCATAACTTTCCTCCATAATAAGGTCAAAATCTGTACTTCTGTGATGAACAAGATAGAACAAGGCCACTTTAAATATTGGCAAGTGGTCATACAGTATTACATAGAAAGTAAACTAAGACACATAGAATATGGCTTTTAAGAAAAAAAAGAAAATATTTTTTAAAGGAGAACTGAAAAAATGACTTAAATATGAATAAACAATGTTGATATAAATCCTTCAAACAAAAGCATTTTGTAGTAGTTTGACTTATTACCAAGATGACAATGATGACAGCCCAATTAATAAAGAACAAAACATCTTGAAAGAAATAGTAGAATGGGCCATGGAGAAATTGTTAAACTCGAAAGTTCCAGGTTTTGATGGAATACTTGTGGAATTACTAAAATCAGTGTCAGTTAACATCATCACTGCCCCATGTCAAGAGATGGAAAACATGTCAATGGCCTCAGGACTGGCAAAGATCTGTTTTTATCCCATTAGTAAAGAAAGGCAATGCCAGAGATTGTTGTACAATTGCATTGATTTCTCATACAAACAAGATTCTGTTAAAAATAATTAAACACAGAGTACATAATTTTATCATCAAGAGTTATCTGATGTACAAGCAGGCTTTAGAAAGGGGCAATGCACTTGAAATCACATTGCCAGTATTAGATGGATTATGGAAAAGGAACGTGAATATCAAAAGGATCTTTATAGGTGCTTTATTGATTACGGAAATGTTTCTGACAGTGTAGAAAACAACACAGTGGGCTTTGGGCAGCTTTGCATGATCTTTGTGTCCCAATCCACATCACCAGATTTACCAGATCACCTTACACCAGCGGTTCTCAACCTGGGGGTCGTGACCCCTTTGGGGGTCGAACGGCCATTTCACAGGGGTCGCCAAAGTCCTCTCTCGCCCCCCAACGTCTTCACTCACCCTCACCCTCTGCCTCTGTTGGATCGCCAGTCGCCGTTCGCTTACCCCGCCCACTCCCAATCTATTGCTGCCTCCTGAGTCCCAGCTGATGGCTAGAGGGAAACAAACCGTTTAAATTCTTGCCACGGGGCTTCAAAGGGCCACCCTACAGCTGATCAGTGTTAAAAGAAAACAAATGAGAAGACCAGTGCCTGCAAAAATAGAAAAAAACAGCCCCTTTGAGCTTCAGTTTATGGTTAATTACCATAAGTTGATTTGATCAGTCTCTGGACTCTCAGCTGATTTGCTCTCAGCTGTTTTGCGGAGGGCTCTATTGCTAGCTGCAAAGAGAGGAGCAGATTTTTTTTTCCCTTAGCTATGCTGAAAAAACGAAACTGAAAGTAAAGCAGGGTCTTTGCTGCAACGTGACAAAATGAGGCAGAGAGAGATTTCTTTTTCTTTTTCCTCACCAAAAAAGGTAGGTGCAAAACTGCAAACAATGGGAAATTTAGGGCAAAAGAGGAGGTTCAAGATTTTAAAACACAAAAGAAAAAAAGCTCTATTTAACTAGGGAATTGTAATAATTGAGATACTATTAATTGTATATTGTGTTGAAAGCAGAAATGGTTAAGTTGTGGTTTGGAGGAATATATGGGGGAAATTATTTGGTTTATTATTATTGGTAAATATAATTAATTGATTTGTAAGAAATTGGATTGCATGGAAATAATTGGAATATTCATGTTCATATTGATTGATATACAAAAAAGATAGTTATATAACTAATTGATTTATATTAAAATGTTGAATTTGTATTAAACAACTGTATTACATAATTACATAATTAACCAATGTGAGGATGGATATAAAAATAGATGACAATGCGAAGGGGTATAATATAGAATAGAAGGGAAAAATTGAATTTGATTAAGATTAGAGATGAGGATGAAGGGTAATATTGTTTTTTTTAAAAAATAGATGAGGAATAAATATGGCAAAAAGGAAATATAGAAATTGTAAATTTAATTGAAATGACTAAACACTGTTTAAATTTGTGAACCAGCCAAATATTCTGTTCAAAGAAAATACATTGTATGTTTGTATGTGTGTTTCTAATTATTGCTATTTATTCATATTTGTTCTCTTTTATTCTTTAAAGTTTAACAATTCATTCTTTATCTTAATATCTTTATATTTGTTTGGGGTTGGCTTTCTTCCCTTTCATCTTTTTTATTGTACAGCAATCTTTCTCCTCAAACCTACCACCTCTCTCTTTTCTTTCCTTCTTACTTTCTCTTTCCCCCTCTTCTTCTCCTTCCTACTTCCTCTTCCTTTCTCCTTCTCCTCCTGTCTTCCTCCCTCCCTTACCCTCACTCCTACTCTAATTTCCCTTCCCTTCCTTCATCCCTCTCTATTGCTGTATCCTTTTATGCATATGGACTACTCAGAAGGCTGAAAAAGTTATTTTTGACTGGTCCTCGTACTTTTGACCAGTCCTCGAACTTACGAATGTCCTCACATTTTACGTTTTTGCCCTATCTTGTCACCATGGTGAAGAGAAGCAGTTCTGAAATGAGTGACAAGGTTGTTAAGAATGCTACAATGGGCATGATGACCAGTCATAAGTGCGAAGACCGGTCAAAAGTGCGAGGACCTGTCAGAAATCACTTTTTTCAGCCCTCTGGGTAGTCCTTTTGTGCACATGGACTACTCAAAGGGCTGAAAAAGTTATTTTTGACTGGTTCTTGCACTTTTGACCAGTCCTCAAATTTACGACTGTCCTCACATTTTACATTTTTTGCCCTATCTTATCACCACGGTGAAGAGAAGCAGTTGTGAAATGAGTGACATGGTTGTTAGGAATGCTGCACAGGCATAAATGTGAGGATGGTCATAAGTGTGAGGACCAGTCAAAAGTGCGAGGATCTGTCAGAAATGACTTTTTTTTAGCCCTCTGAGTAGTCCCTATACACATAGCCATGGCCACCCGGTCACATGACCAGCTAGCCACACCCACCCAGTCACATGACCTCCAAGCCACACCCACAAAGTAAGCCACGCCCACAGAACTGATAGTAAAAAAATTTAGAACCCACCCCTGGTTGGGGGTCACCACAACATGAGGAACTGTATTAATGGGTCGCGGCATTAGGAAGGTTGAGAACCACTACCTTACACTGATCAGGAGGCAACAGTGAAAACACTTTATGGTGACATAAAGACATTTCCCTTACTGATTCTGAATGGTTCAGAATCAGTAAGGGAAATATATTTTACCAGCTTTTTTGTTCAATCTGTATGTGAAGTGATCATGCAGAAATTAGATTCGGATCTGCCTGATGTTGGAATAAAGATTGGAGGAAGAACCATGCATAATTTGAGGTATGCAGATTATACAAACTATTGGCTGAAAATAAGGAAGACCTAGAAAAAATAATCTGGACTATCAAGGGTTAAAGTGGAAAAAGTAGGATTGTATCTTAACATCAGGAAAACAAAGATAATGACAATGGTTAGTGGAACAAGAAGAAGAGGCAAGGAAATAAAGAATAATGGCTTGATAACATCAAATCTGATACAAAATTGAACATCTGACAACTGAAAGAAATTGTGCTTGACAGGTAGCATGGAGAGCACTTGCCCATAAAGTCAGACATTACTAAATAGTTAAAACAACAATAAAAATAAAATTAAGTTACATGAATTATTAAGTTATGTGAATTACATTTATTTTAAATATATTTAACACTCTGCCCCTTATATCCAGAGTTCAATAGCTGCCAAACAGTTTTGTCAGTTCTTAAGAGGATATATCACAGCAGAAACTACTTAGTATAGGAAATTCTAATTCTGGCTATAGAATCATAGAATGCTAGCTTAGTATAATGTTTGCTAACAAATGTTCAAGTGTTGTCAAATATGTACTTTAACTTTTTCTCTCTGGCATTATAAATAAGAGAGAAGTATTCAGAAAAGACTTACTCAAATATTTTGTCACAACAGAGAAATGAATTTCTTAAAAAACTGCTGGAACCCTGGAAATAAAAATAAGCAAAGTATGAACAATTTTTCTGTCACAAGAAATCCTATGTAATTTATTTGCATAAGTTTTAAATATAATTTCTATTGTTTTGAACAAGACAAGTATTTTACTGTTAATGTCTGACAACAGTTGAAACTACATTTAGTAGCTTTTTAAAATAATTCAGAAATCTGATTTCAGACTAACCGAATTGATCAGCTTCAATGGACTGAGAGCCATCTCAGTAACAAACTGCATGTAGAGCCATCACAATTGATCTGATGGAAACTATTTCATGAAAGTAGCTTCTTTATTATAATACTCTTTAAATAATGTTATTGGTTGTAAAATTGCAATCTATCTCTTATCCTTCTTGTCACTATATATGATTAAATACTCACATTTCAATGTTTATTTAATTACATCACAAAAAGTATTTGAGCCTTAATAAAGAATGCACCAAGCAAAATTAATCTAATGATAGACTTATTTTCAACCAAACTCAGAAAAAAATAAGTTTATTCTTTAAAACTACTTCAAGCATAACAGCTATATATAGTTTATTTTAAATAAATAATAGCATATTATTCTTTTGATAAGCAAATTTACCTAGATTTCATTAAAATCATAGTTTGTCTCTATGGGCAGAATGTTTAATTAATATGTACTATATGCAGACATACCATTTTGGGAATGGAATATTTAATTCACAAAACAGCATATTTTGAACATTGTTGCAGTTTAGTATCTGTTCTACTAAAAGTGTGTTAAATGTGTGATAAGACATTAGGTTTCAGAAATTATTTTGAGGGATAACTGGTCCACTGTATGAGTATTCCATCACAAAACATTGTATTAATTATTCACACACAAATGAACACCCATACTGGAAATTTTATGTCCTTTATAAAATCATTAAATACTCCATCCTAACAAATTTTGTAGAAAGAAATAAAAAAGAAATAGAATAGTCGTCCTTTGGATGGATGGGTAGGTAGGTAGGTAGGTAGGTAGGTAGGTAGGTAGGTAGATAGATAGATAGATAGATAGATAGATAGATAGATAGATAGATAGCAGAGATGGGTTACAGGAAGTTCTGACCAGTTCTGGAAAACCGTAGCAGAAATTTTGAATAGTTCAGAGAAACAGTAGTAAAAATTCTGACTGGCCCTGCCCCCATCTATTCTCTACCTCCCAAGTCCCATCTTATTGGGAGGAAATGGGGATTTTGCAGTAACCTACCCCTGGAGTGGGGTGGGAATGGAGATTTTACAGTATCCTTCCCCTGCCATGCCCAAGCCACGCCCACGAAGCCACACCACGCCCACCAAGCCATGCCCACAGAACCAGTAGTAAAAAAGTTTGAAACCCACCACTGATAGATAGACAGACAGACAGACAGACAGACAGACAGACAGACAGACAGACAGATAAAGCAAGCAAGCATGCATACATGCATGCATATATACACATATATACATACATCCCAGAAAAGAAATAAATGAAAAACATTGCCCATTTGCTTCTGGGGGAGAGTCAAGGTACTGATTGTTACCTCTTCAATAAAGTCCTACACAAAATAAGGCCTGGTTATTTGAGAGACTGCCGACTCCCATAGTATCTATCCAGTTAATTCAAACTTGTAGGATCTGCATGTTATGGATACCTTTGATTAAACAATCTTATCTATTTGGACTCTGATATGGCAACTTCTCTGTAGCAGCATTTGTCCTTTGGAAAGAAAATCCTCCTGAGATCCAAACAGCCCCCACAAAGTTCCAGTATCTATCATGTTTATCATTCAGTTATAATTTCAGGTTTAATTAATGGATTAATGTACAAAACTATTCCATTAGTCTTTTCTGAGTCCACTGATGTGGGTCTAGGACAACTCTCTGCTGCAAATTTGCCACCACCATCTTGTGCCACCACCATACCGTGCCACCACTATATCATGCCACCACCGTATCGCCATCACCTCACTGTGGGGCATCTCACCCTGGCCAACCCACTCTGGCAAACTCACCCTGGTAAACTCATTGCAAGCCTGGCTTTCCGCTCTGGTTTCCAAAGCCCTCATTTCTTCTCAAAAGTTTCCTCACCTCATTTTCCAGCATTCCCCGGAAAAGGCAGGCTAAGCAAGAGTCAATATTACACACACACACCATTCTGAGTTGGAGACCTTTATGTGCAACTGAGCTGGAAACGTGCCAATTGTGCTTGGGGGAAGGACCTCTCCTTTGGAATGCTACACTGGACCCTGACTGCTCCCAGGCATAAGGATAAGTAGAGATGATGACAGGGTGACACGCCCCTGATGGCCAAAGGGGGACTAAGTGGAAGTCATTGTTCCATTGGGCTGGATGCTTCAGGAGGAACAGCTTTTACAGCGATGGCTGTCGGGAGAGAGTCACCCTGTCACCATCCCTGCTTGCCCACCTGGGAGCTGTCAAGTTCCAGTGCAACACACCAAAGGAGAGGTCCTTTCCTCAAGCCCTGGGATTATTGGCAGCTTGCCAACTCAAACACGATAAAAGTCCCCAAGTTTGGAATGGTTTCTCTCTATATGTCTCTGTGTGTATGTCTGCATGTGTGTGCGTGTGCGTGTGCATATAGAACAATAACTCCCTCTTAGTCCACCTTTTGTGGGGGGATGCTGGAAACCAAGGAGCAGAAGCCTTCATAGAAAGAATGTGGGCTGGTGGGAACTTTCACTTCCCTTAAATCAGGCCAGCTTTGGAAACCAGAGTGGAAGGCTCAGGCTCACGGTGAGTTGTTTCCATGGAGAGTTGGCCGGAACTAGGTGTCCAAGGATGAAGTGGCCACGGCAAGATGTCCCATTCCTGTGAGAAGTATCCATTGCAATGAAGTCTGTTTTTCTTATCTGAGAATGAAGAATGGTAAATCTCTCCTTCCCTCCCTCCCTCTCTTCTCCATCTGTGCACATCCACATGCACATAAATAAATAAATATTATACAAAATTAGAATTCCAGAATTATCCAAACTAAATATCCATAATCCCATGAAGAAATGAAGAATTCTTCAGCACAATTGACAACCTTTAGTAGATTTTATCAACTAAGCACCCCATAAAAAATCTGGGTATGATGTACTAACTAGCCTGTAAATTCTAAATTTAGCAATTTAGAAAATACAAGAACTCTAAAAAGAAGCGATGGCTTATATCATAGAATTTGACAGTAGAATTTCTTTTCTACCTATCCAGGCCTTTAAAAATTCCTTCTAAACTCTAAAATTCAACCAAAAAACTATGGTATGTGGGTATAGTGCCTGAGGAATACCTACCATGCAGACTACAAGATTCCCTATTTTACTGACAATATTCTAAGGTTTTCTTTTGTTTTGTTTTGATGGACAAATTTAAAAAGAAAGAAATAAGGTCAATATTTAGCTTCCTGGTTATTTATAAAAATATTTCTCAGCCCCAAATTCTACAACCACAGTACTTTTTTCCTCTTTTAGAAATGTTTAGAAATGTTATCCTCAGAAGGAAGGCGAAGCTAAGCTACAGTAATAGTGAACTGTGGAGATGGTGGCTGGGGTGTGTTGTGTGTGTGTGAAGGACAAGGGGCAATGTCATTAGTTTTCACTCATAAAACTATAAGTTTTGTGATTGACTAGACCTAGTGGTCTATGGTGGGTCTACAGTGATTTTTAGCTATTTTTTGAAAGCGGCAATAAAATGTCTTCTCAATTTCAAATATATTGGCAACATGATAATAGTGCCTATCATATCCCTATCTCTATTTCAATCTCTAGCCTCAGGAGAATGACACTCTGCAACAGACTGCTACTGACTTCTGTGCTTTAGCTAGCATCAGTCAGTCACAACTGAGTTCAGCATCACTCTATTTCTGAATAACTCTATTAATTGCAAGTAAGGTATGCAATATTTCTGCATGTACTTTTGCTCTGCAGAAAGTGCATATGTCAGCCTGGACGCTTGTTTATCATTTATCATTTTTCTTAGCTCTGTGAGGGAGGGGGATTCAAGTAAGGTGAGATATGCCAATTTCCCCTAAAATTTGAAGCCATAGAAAATCAAGATTTTTCACCTGTATATTCCTTTTAGGGAATTATAAGAAAATATAAGAATGAATGAATGTTTATTATAGTTAAAAGCCAGAGATAGAAAATATAACTGAAAATGGTTAAAAACAACTATTAAATAAAGATAGAATAATGCAGTGAAAGTCATTGCAATAGTTGGTATAAAAATGCATGCTACAACTTTGGGAGATCTTACACTAATTAATGTCCAATTTTCATGGTTGTTGCACGGTATTTTGCTAAAATCTCAGTAATAAACAATATACAATCTGAAAAAAAGTTTATGTAAGTATTGCCAGATCAAGTATTGATGTAAAAGGGGCAGAATATACATTATGAATATCTCATAGATGGCACTATAAAATAACATGTTAGATTGTTTCAGTGTATCCAGTTTCACATAAAGTTTCATATGAACAAACACATTTCTCAAACGGTATTTTAGAACATCTTCCCCATAATACCAAAAAGAAAAGTCCATGCATTTCTCAAAGAACATACTATATGTACATTTATTTCTTTATATGCAGGAAGTGGCATTGCTCAGCTTCAAAGTCTCTAAAACTTTTTCTGAATGAGAAATGTTTTCACTGCCTTCAAACTGAAGATTTTATAATATGCAATCTATCAGTGATTCAGGAAATCATGGAAGAATTACTCAACTCTGCAACTTAAAAGAAAATCTAAGGCTCTGTGCAGACCACAAGATGGCATTACTCTGCTACAAATAAAAACTGTACTCTGTCAAAAGACTCAAATAGGATTATAAACAGAATATATTCATGCTCACCATGATATAATTGGCAAAGGCTGGAAATCTATACAATTCTTCCAGTTTTGCAGATATTTATAATATCAAATTTGTGGTATAGAAAAATGAATCATGAACCTGGAATAAAATTCCTGCTTTGGAATTGTATCTCTTGTTTGAAAGTGACCAA